GATGGTTGAGGGCGGGGGGGGGGGGGCGAGGGGGGGGGGTCGGGGGGGGCTGATCTGTGAAGGGAGGCGACAGGTGTCTGTCTGCTGTAGAACCCGTCCACATGTGGAGGGACCTCTCCTGTTGGTTCTGTCCCCTGATGAGTGCCGCCACCCTACGTTTGATCTGCGACTGTTCAACTGATCATAAAAAAAAAAAGGACAAATATCCTCTTTGATGTTTGTGGGAAAGCTGAGATTGGCTGAGACCAGGCTTTAGAGGAGATCTGTCTGTCTGTGTGTGTGTGTGTGTGTGTGTCTGTGTGTGTGTGTGTGTTTTCACGTCTGGCTCAAACTGAGAGCCTTCAACTTCAGGCTGCTGACTTTTCTGCAGGGTTTCTGCTCCGTCTCTCCAGGACGCCGTGATGTGAAAATTCTTTTTGACTAAAGAAACTGTTTTTCCGACTGAAATGAACATTATTGAACCTGACGTCACCAAAAAAAAACAAAAAAAAAAGACGCAGCTCAGAGGCTTCTTTATCCACAATAAAACGTTCTGGCGGCGTGAAGCTCCAGGATGTGACAAACCTCGGCCTCTGTTTGGACGAGTGAAGACAATAAGACACTTATGTTGTCCCTTAACTCACCCCGTTTACTGGAAAGAATTGACCAGGCGACAGCTGGGCCTACGGGCCGCGACCCCTCCTAAATCATTAGCCTTATACAACACGGTGGTGGAGCGGAGACGACCTCTGTCAGCTCTCTCTGAACGGTTATTCCAGTTTAGAGGGAATAATAACAACAATCAGGACAGAGTCCGACTGTAAAGGAGTCTGAATGTGAAGAAATCCAGTCCGACCGCGAAAGGATGTTCACAAACTCAGGAACTCAGAAATAATTCTGTTCTTTTAAAACCATTTCTCACTGGAATAATAATAACAACAATAATAATAATAGTGATAATAATAATAATGATAATAATGATAATAATAATAATAATAACAACAATAATAATAATAGTGATAATAATAATAATGATAATAATAATAATAATAACAACAATAATAATAATAGTGATAATAATAATAATGATAATAATGATAATAATAATAATAATAACAACAATAATAATAATAGTGATAATAATAATAATGATAATAATAATAATAATAACAACAATAATAATAATAGTGATAATAATAATAATGATAATAATAATAATAATAATAATGATAATAATAATAATAATAACAACAATAATAATAATAGTGATAATAATAATAATGATAATAATAATAATAATAACAACAATAATAATAATAGTGATAATAATAATAATGATAATAATGATAATAATAATAATAATAATAATGATAATAATGATAATAATAATAATAATAATAAATACTGCTGCACGCTGCGACCGTTTCCTCGTTTCCTCGGTCTGCACCGTGTCACCTCGTGATCAGCTGCAGCTTTTTGAACACATCAAAGGACGAGATGACGCACGTCTGATCTGACTCTGTGTTTCATGTTTCCAGGAACTGTTGTTTTTTTTGTTCAGAGAAAGTCTTGATGCAAATTAGCTGTGACCTTTTCTTCTCTTTAAAACAATTATACAAATGAAGAACTTCAAATCAACAGAAGAGACTGAGACACGGTTCACAGCTGAGGGAAAAATAATAATTAAAGTTCTGTCAGTAAAGTGTAGTCAATGTAACTGTGTTTACTCAGAGTCCTTTAAAGTGAGTCGCACTGACCGGTGAAAACCTGCAGGGGCAGCAACAACAACAAAAGTGAGTCGCACTGACCGGTGGAAACCTGCAGGGGCAGCAACAACAACAACTGTTCTGTCGTCAGATGAAAAGACAAAAGAAAAAGATGGGGCGGGGGCAGATATTTGGACACTGGGACTCAGAGCAGGTTCAGGTTCAAACGTCGGGTTTCTCAAACTGCGGCGCTGCGTCTGGTCACGCTGCATTTGAGCAGTGAAGCCTGAGCTCCCCCGAGAGCCGTTGACCTCTGACCTCTGACACAGGTCAATGACCAGTAAAGGGGAAACTGAAAGATGAGACACTGGTGTGTGTGTGTGTGTGTGTGTGTTCCTGGTATATCATTATAGGTGGGGACAGAGGAGGTTGGTCCGTGTTGATAAACTGTGAAGGACAACATTGATGTTGTTGATGTTGAGGTTCAGGTTGGAGGAAAACAATGGATCAGTGTGAGCTGCTCAGAACGGACAAAAACCATTGTGTGTGTGTGTGTGTGAGAGAGAGTGTGTGTGTGTGTGTGTTTGCAGATGGTATTACAATCTCCTGGTTGCAACTGCATCAGCGTGTGCTTCAGGATGACAGACACCATCACTACAAAGCACAGTCTGTCCTCAGGCCACCTTCCTTAGGCAAACACACACACACACACACACACACACACACACACACACACACACACACACACACGCTGACTCTGCAGTACAAAGACTGACTTGTTGACTCGCTGCGTTAGCTCTGACTCGGTGTTTACTCTGACGTGTAAAGGTCACTTTTCCTCTGGTCAACAGTCTGTTTATAAACAAAAGCTGCGACCGTCTTCAAACTCCGACTGTCTTCAAACTCAGACCGTCTTCAAACCCCGACTGTCTTCAAACTCCGACCGTCTTCAAACTCCGACCGTCTTCAAACTCCGACTGAATCTAAGCCCACTCCAGGTCATGGTCTGTTGGGCCACAGAGAATTATTTACTGGGCTGGATTTGGGCCACGGGCCCTGAGTTTGAAGCTGTCACTGATCTTTCCTTTGGTTTTTTTGCTGCGATGTGCAGGAAGCCCTGACTGTGGGCATCTCGCTGTATGTTTTAAGGAGATCATGTGACCTCCTCACACGGTGAGTTTCGTGCACTTTGTCGGATAAATAAAGTCGCTGCGCGTCTCCTTTTTCAAAGGACGTGGTGTAGTTTATCATTTCAGCGACTGAAGAAATTCAAGCTGTGAAGCTGTGATCCTGGTTCACAGTGAGAGCAGATCACAGGGTCAGCACGCTGACACACACACACACACACACACACACACACACACACCACGGCTACAGTTACTGTGGTCAATATTATTACTGCAGTCAGACGTCCCACTTCTCTGTCTCCGTTATGAAAACATCGGAGGGACCGACCGACCGACCGACCGAACGACCGACCGACCGACCAGCAGAGGGATAAAAGTCGCTGTTTTATACACTGGACACCAGGGTTCCTGTACGAGTACCAGTACTGCAGTACTGGACTTGGAGTACTGTATACAGCCCCTAACTCTACATGAAATATTAGTTTATTATATTAATCATATTGATAAGCAACATAAGGTAGAACTCCATCATGACGATGCCATGTTGGTGTATGATGTTTGTATAAAACAAATTAGTCCTTGTGCAATTTCTAGGCGGACAAATTCACCGCGCCTCTGAAACCACAACAATAGCTGCAGTTGACTTGAAGTGTGACGTCGGTTGGATGTTTAAACAGGCGCTGACATGAGGCTGAAGAAGAACAGCCAGAGGCTCGACACGCAGCCCTCCACGTCACAGTGACATCAGCGCCAGGCGGCTTCGCACGGTACAGGAAGCTGGTGCAGCTGGTGGCTAATTTTAGCTGCGACTTCTTATCATGTGTTGCTATGAATGACTATGACTATGAATCAAAACGACGCTAAGCTAATGTTAATTTTTTGCCAAAATGTTTTTGTATTTTGTCTAAACTTTTTTTAAATTACAGTAGTGTTTTCCAGCTACTTTCTTTTATTTCTTTTATTTTACTATAAAATGTATGCTATTTTAGCTTGTTTGCTAATTTTACATTTATACATTAGCTTTCAGTTTCGACTAGCCATTAGCTAATATTTTGGTTAAGTCGACCCTTTTCTTTAGCTAACGCTGCTGTTTCTCAGCCGACAGTTATCGCTAATCTCTTATGCACAATTTATAATTTCAGTTTTGCACGTTGGACAATCTGTGTGTTTTCAAGTAATGGAAAAATAAGTAGTTGATGTACGCACCACATGGAAGACTTGGGCGTCCTGGCCAGTGGTGAGGACCATCTGGGGCTGGAGGCCGGACTGGAGGAAGAAGCCGTGAGCTGACACCGTGCAGCCTCCACTGTGGAGAGAGAACAGATGTTGGCATCACCAACGGACACAGAGACACAGAAGATTCCCACTGGGACAGACCTGCTGTTAGCATTAGCAGGTTAGCCTCCTGTCACCTCCTACTCATGGCCGCTCACATTTAAAGCTACAGCTACCGACTGAAACTCTCCGTCGAACCTTCTTCTGGTTTTTGATCATTTTGGCTAAATTTAAGCTATTTTCGTAGCTTAGCTGGCTAGGCTAGGTTTGATCGGGGGGGTTGGGGGGGTGCGAAAACGTAAAATAGTTATTGTTGTCGTTGCCATGTTTCAGCTAAACTGTATCTTTTCTGCCATGTTTATAACCCTAAAGTTAAACGTTGTCTAAGTCATAGCCTCCTTTTTATTCTGGTTAATACTTTTTTGACTTTTTTTTGTTGTGTGTTGTGTTGTGTTGATGTCATGTGACGACATATTGGAGGAGATTCTCCTCAGAGTGGGACAGACCTGCTGTTAGCATTAGCAGCTCTGCCTTTCAACAAACTCCCACTCGTTCTCTCCTGAGGCTCAGCTCACACATCAATCTGTCTCTTCTCATCATCTACCGTTTCAGAACCAAAACCCTGACGCTGTTGGGTCTTCTTTAGGTGAAGAAACATTTAGAACCCTGATGGGGAGCGCGGCCAACACTGAAAGACGAAGATTTGGAAACCATGTGACAGTGAGGCGTCTGACCTGACGAAGGAGCGCGAGGGCTGGATGCTGTTGATGATGGGGTCCTGGTTGTAGGTGAAGAGCCTCGGAGCCAGAACCTCCACCGAATCCACCGTCAGCTTCACCACTTGCTCAGAGGGAAACGCGTGAGGAGGCGTCTTACAGGTCAACATGGTGGAGGACAAGCTGGTGGTGAGGTCAGAGTGAAGGTCAGCGGGGGGGGCACAGGGGGGAGGGGTAAACAGGGGACACATTGTTGTCTTAGTCTGCACACTGGTGGACTTTGTCTAAAACTTAATTTATGCAATTGACTGGAGTTAGTAAAACAGACAATCCCTGAATGAGTCCTAATGGAAAGATCCGGAAACAGGACGAGGGAAAAGAATGGAGCTGAAGTCAAAGAGTAGGTCTTTGAGCTGACAGTGTTTTACACTGAACACTTTGTTATTTACCTCTGTATTTTACAGAGCGCCGTTCCAACTGTCACTTCCTGTTTGTTTCCAGTATCGAGGAACGCTCCTCGGACGGTCAGCATGGTGTTGCCGGACTTTGGTCCAAACGTTGGGAAGATTTCATGGATCACAGGTTCCTGCAGGAAAAAAAAAAAACAAAAAAAAAACATTTGGACTAATGATCAGCCTTCTGACCATCAGAGACAGATGAAATATTTCAGAGGTTTTTCTTCATAAAAATATGGATTATTTTGAACTAAATAAAAAATAAATTTGAACATTTATTTCTCCTGCATCACAGACAGAAGGAGTTTTTTTTTTTTTTTTTTTCAGCCTTTCTGACATCACGTCATCCCGCTCCACGTTTCTTACCACAAAAGTGAAGCCGTCCATCCTGGCCACCTTGTTGAGTGTGGTGACCTTCACCGTGTGACCTGATGGCGTGAAGTTCCCACTGAACACCGGGTTACACTGCAGCTCGCTCCACCTGAGTCCCACCAACAGACAATGGACAAAGAAGCCGTTATGGTCAGTAACAGCCAATCAGAGACGTCCTAATTCAATGATCATCATCCACTCTGCAGTACTTCCACACTGCAGGAACGCCCAAAGAGCGCGGCTCCGTGTGGGACGCCACTGGTTCACGACGTTGTTCTCAACGCTCTTGTTTTTCAGCAGAAACATCTTTTGAATCAACGCTCGGACGTTCGTTCGTTTCCCAGCAATCTTTCAGTTAAGGAAGTCATGTGTCGATTGTTGTGTTTCATTATAGAAGTGTGTGTGTGTGTGTGTGTGTGAGTGTGTGTGAGGGGGGGGGTGTTCCTAAAACTCATCTTCCAACAATGTCCCCATTAAGACTTCCTTAATCTGGTAAACACCGACCTCAGTCCTGCGGCCGATAATCTGCTGAGAACATTATCATGTCCTGAACATAAACAACACACACACACACACACACACAGAGAGAACGGTGTGTGTGTGTGTGTGTACCCGTTGATACTGTCGTGTCTGGGCAGTTTGCACGGAGCTCCGGCCACGTCCACCGTCACCAACGCAGCCTTGAAACTCTCCGTCTTGTCGAAGCCGAAGTTTTGACCACAGATCGTGACGACTGTCGAGCCTCGGATTGGACCAGAAGATGGAGAAAACTGAAGAGTGAGAAAAAAAATAAAAATGGACAAAAATTCAAAGCACACTTGGTGAAAAAGTTGCCGAGTTTCAAAACAAAAGTCTGTCGTTTATATTTATGGCCCTTTCCTTTTCTTTGTTCTGATATTGTTTATATCATTTTATGTTTAAATAAATATAAATTCAACCGATGACAAACACGGAGCGATTTGTTTATATCATTTTATGTTTCTCTTAAATAAATATGAATTCAACCGATGACAAACACGGAGCGACGCGGTACCTTAGTGATGACTGGAGTGCAGTACTGCTGCGTCCACACGGAGGACGGACACTGGTGGGCTCTGGTGCAGCGTCCGTCACACCACCCACACTGAGTCACCTTGGACGACAGCAGACAGGAAGTGCAGCTGGTCAGCTGATCACAGCCAGGGCCAATCAGAGGAACCTTAGTCAGCTGAAGGAGAGACGGTGGTTCAGTGGACTTGGTCGTAGCCATACCCGTTTATCGCGCTCGGTGGTTCCGTGCTCACCTTGTTTCCCGTGGCGATGAGCAGCGCCCCCTCTGAGTCGCTGGAGTCCAGCAGCGCCACGCTGGAGGAGACCGGCCGCCAGTCCAGTCGGATGTTGACGTGAGGGGAGGCAAAGCGGGAGAAAAGCACCTGCAGGAGGAGACATCGGATTCAAATCACATGTGAGGGTTGGACATCATTGTGATGTGATCAAGTCAAGATCAAAAATCACTTCATAAAAACACGATCAATTATTAAAAGGTTGAATCATGATTCGTTTTTTCTTCTTCTACTGCAGCTGCGTCACGTCTTATTCTGTTCACCTTAAACTCTCTGCATTGTAACTTTAAATGTGATTTGGTGGTAGACCCCCCACCCCCCTGCAGAACTGCCCTGTGTCCCAGTGTCATGCCCCCGCCCCCACCGTTTGAGCCTCATGATCAATGTTAGCTTTGTGAGCGTCAGTATAAAGGGTGGTTTTCCTCCAAACAACAGGCTCTTCTCTGGACCAACACAGATGTAAATCACAGCTTATTGTGTTCAGCCGGTGGAGGGAAGTGTGGCCTACAGACGTGGCCACTGTGCGATTCCCACAGTGGGCCAAGAGAAGCCGAGGAAAACACTTCCTGAGCCAGAGTGCAGTCCTGACTCTGACTCGTCTCTGACTCGTCTCTGATTCGTCCAGGAAGCTGGAACATGTTGACAGGCTCTTTCTAACGCGCTAACAATGAAACGATTTTCCAGAGCAGAGTCGATCACCTCTCACTGGCTGCTGGCTCTGGATGGATGGATGGATGCAGCAGGTGTCCGGAGGGTCGACGGTTCAAATGGACAGCCGTGGAAAATCAGGGAAAAAAGTGGGAAAGATAAAAAAGGACGCAGGGTTTTTATGGTCTTCACACCTTCCTTTGGTCAAACCTGCTTTACTGAACACCAAAACATGTCAACGGTCCACAAAACTGCAGTGACAGATTTGGCCTCTAGGGTCAACGGGTTTAACAAAATAAACGTTGTTTCCTTAACGTACGACACAGTAACTGAAGTAAACATTTAAACACGGAGACAGTTTCATTTGGTGAAGGTTTGAAAAAACAAAGGTTTCTCTGAGATCAAACTTTTCCACTTGTTAGTGACGTCTCAGACTGAAACCAACGGTTTGGAAATAAATCTGCCGTTGTTTTTAGGAAGTTTCTACAAAGGTGACAGAGAAGAGGTCAAAGGTCAGAGGGAAACTAAAAAAGCTCAGTCCAGGACAGTAAAATGAACATTTTTGCTCTTGTTCAAATTGACTTCCTGTCACCTGTTCCTGAAGAGCAACGTCGCAGCATTATTGATCGTATTGATCGTATTTCCTGCAGAACAAACGCAGGTCAAAGTCTCTTCGCTGCAGGGCTGTTTCCTGAGGACAAACTTTGTGCAAACAAACGACAATTTGTTTTAAAACTATGTTAAATATGTGATAAAAACTCCGATTCTTCAGACGTTGTTACTCGATGACACGTCGGGGTTAACTGTGCAGGACAGCTGCTCTGCTCCCTGAACCTCCTAAACCCTGCAGCGAAAACAATGAACTTCAGCCAAACACACACACACACACACACACACACACACACACACACACACACAGCGGTGGCAGAGAAACTCACAGCAACAGCTGCACGCTGCGTGTCACGGCAGCGAGAGGGAACGTGTCAGTGAAACTCGCCGTTCACCATTAACGTTCCGTTCAGCTCTTA